AAGAGTCTGCTGAATGCTGGTCCTTAGACAGGACTCCTTTATTAAATTTCACCCACCCAAGGCTCAGGGACCATTGAGGAAGAGGGGACAGAAAGATTCTAAGAGCCAGGGAGGAGGTGCACGACCATATGGAAACAGAGTCCTACAAACAAGCTCCTGAGAACCTGCTCATATGATTCTATGGCAATGGTGTCAGCATATACAAGTCCCATGCAAACTTAGGGAGACAAAAACCCAGTACAGAATTGGGAAAATGAACAGCAGACACCAATCTTATCTGAAGAAATATTGGCAACTGATTGCTGCCAGGTAAAGAAGAGCTGATATTCTTAAAACAAGGGACTCTAGACAGGCTGACTAGATAGACCTCAGTGGGTGGACTTGCACTGAGGAATGTCTGGGGACACTGACAACACAGTGGGCCTTAACAGGGATGACAGAGTATATGGGCTCCAGTGGGGGGTATGGGAGGGTGCCAGTGGTGATGGGGGTATAAAGATGATTAAGATTGTTTGAGATGTTCTGTATGAAATACACAAAAATTCAATAAAAACAAATTTTTTAAAATGTGTAAATGACAGCAATAGTTTGCTGAATCCAGCTGAAGTAGTTGCACGCACTGGTGAAGACACCAGGTTTGTGGAATAAAAGTTTTTGATACCATGTATGTATAATGTAGAACTAGATCTCATCAGTGTGATAGGAGATAGTCTCTTTCTGGGAAACCAGGCTCATTTGCCTTTAATCATCTACTGTTCAATGTACAACTGACACTTGATGTGAAGTAGAGGACTATGCAAATAGCATGGAACTTAGCTGCAGAATTTCTAGGAACTGGGCAGGATACACTAAGATAATGTACACTATGAAGACGTGGATGCATTTTTGAGAAAAATGCCACCAAGGCTGCAGGGGACAACTATGGAAGAAGAGGAGCCTGGCATCTTCCATTATGCAGATACTGCTGTATTGCTATTGTTATTACATTATAGGCATTGAAATTCCAAGTATTGAGCTGGAGAGATGGCTCAGTCAGTAAAGTACTTCCTGTGTACACATGAAGACCTGAGTTCAATCCCTATGTAAAGTCAGGCATGGTGGTATGTGATTGTAAGCCCAGTGCTGGGGAGGTAGCAACAGAAGAATCCTTGGGATTCACTAGGCAGTCAGCCTAGCCTGATGGGATAGAGGGGATGGGCTCAGGTCCCAGTGAGAGTCTGTCTAAAACGAAAACAAAACAAAACAAACAAAAAACAAAATAAACAAGATGAGGCTGGATATAGTGGCACACACCGTTATTCCTAGCACTCTGGGTGCAGGGGCAGGCAGATTTCTGTGAGATCAAAGCCAGCCTGGTCTACATAATGTCCTGTTCCAGGACAGCTGGGGATACAAGGAGACCTTTTCTCAAAAAACAAAGAAATAAACAAACCAAAAATAAAAATAACCTCAAAGATGGACAAAGCCTGAGGAATGACACCAGAAGTTGACCTCTGGTCTCCACATGCATGCCCACACACATGCATGCATACCTGCACGCACACACGCATGCACACACGCACACACGCACACACACACACAGATTACTGTAGAGAGAGGGAGAGATTACTGATAACATCTAAAAGTACAACATATAGTGTGTACTATATGTTGGTTATTTCTACCACAAACCTCATGTTTATTGATTAAATGTAAGAATACTTTGCATTGGCATCAAAATTCAAGAGACAAAACATAAAGTAGCTATTTTTGGTAAAAGGCAAGATAAACTATTTCTTTATGGATGGTGGGAGATAACTGCCACTTAGGGGCCCAAAGAAGTCAACCAGATAGATTTGTTTGGGCTCTCACAATGCTAGTGCACCAAATAAAAACTGAAGCAGTTCCCATTTTAATAATTTAGATTGTAACTTTTTTATTATGTCATAATACTCTTATTCACTTAGGGTTACCTACCTGGGCACCTGAAAATATTTTGTGATCCCTGTTTAATGAGGAGAAAAATAATAATAATCCCTTCCAGGAGAAAATGATAGGATTTTGGATGATTACATTTGCTTTGTTATCACTTTTTAATAATTACATTTTATTTAGTGTGTATGTATATGCATGTGTGCACATGCCATGACATGTATATAGAGGTCAGAGGACAACTTGTGGAATTCAGTTCTCTTCTTCCACCATGTGGGACCCAGGGATTGAACTCAAGCATGAGGCTTCACAGCAAGTGCCTTTACCTATTGAGCTAGCTTTCTGGTCCCGATATCTTTAATTTTTATTTTATTTTATGTTTTTTGAAACAGGGTCTCACACTATAATCCAGGCTGGCTGGAACTCACTATATAGCCCAGGCTGACTTAAAACTCATGACAATTCTCCTCCAAAGTGCTGGGATTACAAGCATCAACAGCCTTGATATCTTTTAAGGTTTCATTGATACGAGTGTCCTTTTCAGATACAGAAACCATTATTAATCAACTGTAAACTAAGGGCTTCAAGTTAAGGAATAATAAATATATGTAGGCTCACTGGCTTAAAATACAAGAACAGGTGTGACTAGGTTTATAGAATGTTTGTGGTCACAGACATAAGACTTAAATGGGACAGAGTGTCTCATATTAGTATCATTTACTGCATTTCTGGTGCAGGAAATTCAATATCATCTTTAAAACTTGTTTCTCAAACATAAAATTCAGCACTGTCAAACTCACTTTAGAGAGATGCTCAGTGGTTAAGAGAGCTTACTGCTCTATCAGATGATCAGAGTTGGGATGCCAGCACCCACACTGAGCAGCTCACATATGTTTATAACTCTAGCTCCAAGGGATCCAACACCCTCTTCTGGCCTCTGAGGGCACCCCCACACACATGTGCATATACACACATATAAATAATTTTTAATCTAGAAGAGATATGTAATAGTCCTGAAGAAAAGCAACACATTTTAATTAGTAACAAGAGTTTATAACACAGATCAGTTAGTAAAGAAAATATAAAGGCCCAACTGTCATGCAAGGTTTAATACATATGCCCCTCTCTTGAATATGGAGCAGGGAGTTACTGAGCAATACGGTCATGCAAATCTGCAAGAATTATTCAAAGATGCATTTGGCATGCATACTCCTTGAAAGTCATCACCTGTCAAGAAAAATCTGTGTAGTACAAAACTTCCGAAGTTATGAATTCAGCCCTCTTTTCAGCTAGATGTGCTTTTTCTGCCCCTGAAATGCTCTGAATGTGAACAGGTGTACAGGTGAGATGCTACATGTATAGAATTTGTCAGTGATGTGATACCTGAAAAACCTGTACTAAAAGAAGAAAATGATAACACCAGACCAAGCAGAATCATCCCTGGATACGGAGGCCCCCTTCATGCAGCCAACCTAAACGCTGATGAGATGTACAGGGTTCTACATAACAGGAGTGCCTGAGCATGTAGACCTGCCCTACAGAAGATGCCTGTGCTCTGCTGAGCTCTGAGAGCTTTAAGCAAGCTCTCTCTGCCTGAGATATATGCTCCCTCTCCTTTTTCTAGCTGACTTCTTTCTGTTACCCTTTGAAGTCTCGCCTTAAATATTACTGCCTCTGGGACTCATCTTGATGTCCCAGAATGGGTTAGTTATTCCTTATTTGTGTACCCATAATTCCCTCCTGGACTGTCCCTTGAGAAGCACTGGTCACCCTGAATAGTGGCCCCTTGTTTACTTTTCCATAATTCCCCACAACCTCAGGAATCTGTGAGACTATGTCTGTCTTGCTCACACCCGTTTTCCTCATTGGAGATCTCAGAGCATGCTGGTTGGGTGGTCTATTTGCGTCTCAGTTCACTCATGTGCTCATGGGTGACTCATTTGTGAGCTGGAAAAGGTTTAAAATATAGCCAAAAATGGTCTTGATGCCTAATAGAGCTTATCAAGAAGCAGAAATTCTTGGAACATGTTTTGTATGCAGTCTGGAACATCAGAAAATTTGTCTGGAAAGAAAGATTGAAAAGGAGGACCTGCGTGAAAAAGAGGAAGGAAACTTGGAACTATCTCTCCAAGGCAGTGTAGGGATGATAATATCTTGACTAGAGATCAGGAATCAAAGACAAAGGCCAGAGAATCTAAAAGGATAAAGGAGTAGTTATTGGAACCCTGAAGCCACCAAAACCCCCCTATGAATGTTGACATTGAGAGGACATGAAGAGTTGGGGGTCAAGATATGTCTCTATCAATTGGGTTCCATTCTCTCCTAGATCTGAATATTCTCTCACCTAGCAAAGCAAAGGCTGATCTTGAGTAGATAAGCAGGGAGAGAGTCAGCTGACATCAAGGAAGGACAGTAGGCAGATATCCTAGAATAATCTAAGACCCCAGGGCTTAAAAGACACCAACAACTGATTCAAGAAGCCAGCATTGCTTTTCTAACAAGGAAGCTGGCCAGAATCCAGCTGTTTGTTAGAAAGCTCCCTACCACTCCTGTTTTTAAGAAACAGCAGTCTCTCCACCAGGAAACCACAGCTAAGAAACTTCTACAGACTTTCAGTGATCCTTAGCATACAGCCAAGTTCCTTACTATGGCTCACAATGCCTGTCATGTCAGTTTTATCTTCTACTGTGATTACTCAGGCAATTACAGTAAAGGAAGGAGTTGCCTCCTCTGTGAATCCAGAAGAATCTGGAAAAGGAGAATACGCCAGCCTGATTCTTTATATGCGCCTGTAAATCCTATCTAGCAAGTAGAAATGGCCACTGCCTAGGAGTAAGGTGGCAAGGGCTTCCGTCCTCTGCTCTGTTCTTTCTGGCTCTTCAGGGTCTAGACTCCCCAGAACCCCATTACTCCTCAATCTGAATTGGGGTAACTGAGCTGTTTCTTATGATGCACAACTCTGGACTCCACTGGTCCACCTGAACTAGGATGAGTTCAGTTATAAGCCTTGGCTAGACTAACCCCAGGAGTGGGCCTACTCATCCCCTACATAGGTACCACTCTGAGGTTTTATCAGACAGGGAAGTTACCTCCTCGGCCTTCACTGGCAGCTGGCTTCACTTGGATTGGACGATTCATCTGAAAGACATGGGATCAACACACTTATTCAGCATGACTGCCTTGTCCCTGGGCCCTGCTCCTTCTCCCCACTGAGTTCCCCAGGATCTGAGCCCCAGCCTCTTTGCACTCTGCAACCCCTCTTCTCCCACTGGGAGAAGATTCCTATTTTAGTCCCAGGAGTTTAGAAAGTGCTGGAACCTGAAGGGCTGGGTGGCAGGAAGCTCAGTGGCAAACACAGGGAGGATGCAGTGGCTAAAGAGATTCTTCTGTCTTGGATTCTGGGTGGGGCCACGTGGTGGCCCATTTCTCAGGCTCTTGGACTTATGCAAAGGCTTTGAGTGAGAGAAATTGGGTAGGAGGGTATAATTGATATAGCACATTTGTGGTTTATGTCTAAAACTGAGAATATAATGCTATGTGTTATTTAGATTAAACAATCTGGGACTCAGACTTAGTGCTATGTACCCTCAATTCTACCATTTCATGGTTGTATGATTTTTAAGTAAACCATTGTCTCTCAAATTCAATTCACTAATTTGGGAAAACATTCCTAAGTTTCTGTGCCACCGCAGTCTCCACACTCACCCCTTCCAGCCCCTTCTAAATGCCCCTTTCCCCAGGAACGTTGGCGTTCTCTAGGGCACCATCTTCACCCCTGCTCATCTTGCTCTTATTCTTCCTGGATCGCTTCACCCACACCCACAGCCTCAGCAGCTGTCCACACAGGGATGACTCAGACCTCTGCCTCTCCAGCCCACATTCTCTCCTGAGTCTCAGACCCATGTTTCCAGCTGCTCACTGGGCATCCTGACTGGAAAGGCCCACTAACACTCTCCACTCAACACACCCAAACCCAAGCTCTTTTCACCCAAACTCGAACCTCCCAGTCACTCAAGCTATAATCCTGGAAAGCAACTTGACTTTTCCCTCCAACCCTTCCCTCCTCCAACCAGCTTCATCTTTTAATTCAAGGGTTCCCTGATCAAACGTGGGACCCATATTAGATTCTTAAGGTTGGGGGAATTGTATAATCTGAAAAAGCTCCTAGGTGATTTTAATATATACCCCCACCTTCCCATCCCCCAACCGCCCTGAGTGAATTCATGATTGAATCCCCATCTCACCTTCCTCTCATAGGTGTTGTGGGGATCATATGAGGTAATGGGGATGCAAAAGGTCTTGGTAAACTGCCAAGAGCTGGGTGCGTGGGATGTGAGGAATTGTTGTTGGGGGGCAGACAGCTGAGTGCCGGGAGGAAGGAACAGCCGCCTTCCTGTTCGTGGAGGAAGGGGTACTGATGCCCATCTGGCCTGAGAAGGTGATGATCTGACCCCCTCCCCTCAGGAAACGCACTGCTTCTGCACCAATCAGGGGCCATTCCATCCCTTCCAATGTGCTCGTTGCCGAGACAACAGGCAGCTTCCTGTTACCATAGCCACAAGTGCTACCCAGTAACCATGGTAACACCCTGGCAGTCACAGTTGAGCAATTTCTTTGGATCAAATTTGGGGGTAGGAGGGGTGGGGAGAACTTGTTTTTTTTTTTTTTTTAATTTTTTTTAAAGAAGAAGAAGAAGGAAAGGAAAGGAAAACAGGCCAAGTCAGAACCAGCATAATCCCCCCTCCCACCCAGGGCTCTGACACACCCACCCTCTGGTGGTGGAGCACTTGCAGTGTACCAGGCTGTGGGAAGGGGCCGAGACACCGACAGGACTCAGGTTGCAGTCTAGAGGGGATGCCAGATCAATCCAAGCAGATCAGGGCGAGCTGGACAGGTCTGGACTGGCCTGGACCAGGGACCAGGAAGACAGGACCCGTCCCTGGGCATGGCCACCTGTGAGTGTAGAGGAGAAACCAAGAGACAGAGCCATGGAAAGGAGAGACACAGGGAGAGATGAAGAAAACAGCAAGACAGAAATGACGAGAGAAAGTAAGAGACAGGCCTAGAAAGGTCAAAGAAAGAATTACTGGTGGGGATGGGAAAGGAGAGGGTGACAGGTCAGGAAGCAGGTGCAGGGGGAGCAGGGAGAGCCTGGTAGAAGGAGAGGGGCAGAGGGCTGAGCTAGGGGTCAGTGCGGGTGAGCAAAACCATCATTATTTTATTAGCTCTTAAATAGATCGTAAGAATTTTTCTCTGGAGTGACGAGAGCATGTGACAGCAGCAGTTTCCATGGTAGCTCCCTGGCTAGGTTTCCTGGGAGATGGTGTTCATTAGTGCTCTAGGGGGACGCCCTTTTCCCTCCTCCCAACCACTCTGCTACCTTCTGATGGAAGGTGGATACTGGGTAGTACACAGGACTTCCAGCTTAGGCCTGTCAGAGCTGGAAGTCTACACCTCTACCATTTCCACATACTGATAACATTTCCTGAACTCTGTGATGAGCTCCAGTGATGGCTTAGATGGGGACCCTCTCCTTATAGGCTCCCAGAGGAAAACATAAGGCCCACCACTTCCTGAGAGGCCACCAGGTGATAGGCCCTTCCTGAGACACTTTATATACATTGTTTCCAAATCCTTCTAACTACTGGGCAAGGCAATACTACTGCCCCCATATTATGGATGAGAAAAGCTGAGATGAAATCACTTGCTAGGATAAGCTAGGATTTGCTCCATGTCTGCCTAGTCTGTCTGATAGTAAAGTTCATGGCTTTTGCATTGTACTTTCAACTCCATGGTTTTTCTTTGTTGCTGTTTTTTGTTTTGTTTTGTTTTTTTGAGATGAGGTCTCCCTGTATCCCCAGCTGGCCTGGAACTCACTATGTAGACCAGATTGGTTTGGTTCTCACAGAGCTCTCCCTGCCTTTGCCTCCCAAGTAATGGTACTAGGGTGTGTGCCACCATGCCCAGGCGTATTTTTGTTTTTAACAGAGAGTCTCACTATGTAGTTATGGCTGGCCTCAAACTCATTTTTAAATTTTTTAATATTTACTTTAATTATTTTCAAACCAGGGTCTCAGTATATACTCCTGGCTGGCCTAGAACTCACAAAGATCTATCTGTCTCTGTTTCCCAAGTGCAGGGATTAAAGGCATGGGCCATTATACCCAACTGGCCTCAAACTCATGATCCTTCTGCCTTGGCTTCCTGAATTCTGGGTGATAAAGTACCATCATGTGCTGCTCAAGTCCATTGTGTGTGTGTGTGTGTGTATATACCTGTGTTCATGTATGTGCACATGCGTGTACATGAGTGAGAAGGCTGGAGTTGACATCAGGCATCTTCCTCAGTCGCTCTACCTTATTTTTTTCAGATAGGGTCTCTCACTCACTGAACCTGGAGTTCACCAAGTCAGCTAGACCATACTAGATATAAGCCCAGGGTTTTCCCATCTCTGCCTAGCTATGAAATTACAAGGGTGTGTCACCACCTTTGGCTTTTTAGTAGGTTCTGGGGGACCAAATTCAGGTCCCCATGCTTTCATGGCAAGCACTTTACTGACTGAGATCTCCCCAGCCCTCGACTCCATTCTTAAGGCCTGAACACAATGAAGCACCAGGTACCTGGGGCCTTGTGGACACCACCAAGTGAAGAGTTATGAGTGAGGCTTGGCTCCAGCTGGAGAGGCTGACACAGGAAATGCTTCATGAGGAGCAGATTTGACCTGGGCTTTGCAGGTGGGTCAATGGCCAGGTAGAGATAATGGAAGATGTAGAGCTGGCAGCTGACCACTCAAGATGGCTACAATAGGGACAGGCAGTTGCAAGCTGAAAACACATGGGTTCTGGCACCTGAGGAGCAAATTGCTTCTGAGAAAGATGTGTATTTAAATCTTGGTTACATCACTGGGAACTTCTCTAAGGTTTTTGCACCTCAGTATCCCCACTCATAAAAGGGGGGCTGGGCAGGGTGGCGCATGCCTTTAATCCCAGAATTTGGGAGGTAGAAGCAGGTAGATCTCTGTGAGATTGAGGCCAACCTAGTCTACAAAGTGAGTTCCAGGCCAGCTGGGGCTACAGAGAGACCCAGTCTCAAAAAACAGGAAATGCGGGAGTGGGGGTAAATAATGATCCTCTGTCTCAGGGTTATAGTGAAGATTACAATGCCTAGATCTTAGTAAGTGTACTAGATAAAATAAGTTTTGTTTGTCTCTTTTGGGGTGCGTGCGTGCGTGCGTGTGTGTGTGTGTGTGTATCTGTGTGTCTGTGTGTCTGTGTGTGTATGTCTGTGTCTGTGTCTCTGTGTGTGTCTGTGTGTGGTTTTTTGTTTGTTTTGGTGAGAGGTAAAACTGAAAGGCAGGCAGGGGCCGGATCAGGACAGGCTGTGAAAAGTGTCTCTGAGGATCTTGACTTAGTTGTATTTCAAATGCTATAAGAATCCAGGAAAGGACTTTTAAAGTGTGTGTGGAGGGTGCCTATCTGGTCAGTTTAATCTTATAAAGCCCATAAGCTGTTACAGTGAAGAGAAAGGGTTGGGGAGGGAGTGAGTAGAAGCAGGAATGATGCAAGGGGTGAGAGTGATTGAACTAGTATAGCAGGAAATGGATAGACCCGAGAGATGGTCAGGAAGAATGAACAGAGCTAGAGTTCTATTGGGTTTGGGCCCAAGGGAAAGGAGGGAATATGGGCTCACTCTCAGGTTTATGGCTCAGGAATTGGGGGAAGAGACTGTTTGGGAGTTTGAAGGTACATGGAAGGCCCCAGATGAGCAAAGAGTTGAGGACAGTAGTGCTTTCCAGGCCCTGAGCCTCAGCCCCACAGAGTAGTAGTGGTCACAAGGGATGCCTTAACTTTAGGTGCTCTATGTGTGGCTGGATAAGAACATCGCTCATATGAGCTGCCAGGCAACCTGTCTGGCCTTGTTCCTGCTATAAGCAGGGAGGAATCTGGGAGTGAGGTAAGGAAAAGGGGTGTTGACTCCTCAGCCAACAACATGGCATGGGACTTCAAGTAAGCCCTTGCTTTGGCTGAGTACATGTTCCTTCCAGAGTTTCTCATGTGGATTCCAGGCCCATGTCAGCTTCAGGGCCTTGAAGGGGAAATCAAGGCAGAGAATGTCAGAGAGAGGATATAAACTACCCC